TACTCCGATCTTCTGTACGATGACCGTCCCGGTCCAGTGCACGAGCCAATAGCGTTTTGCCTCCTAGCAGAGGTGAATTTATGGGTCACCAAAGCTCCAACAGGAGACGTGGGCGTAGCGCACAAGGTCTTCGACCTCCAATCAATTCATGGTTTTTGGTGTTCCAACAATGCCATACCAAGGATGAAGTCATACCTTGGATCAAAGTCTAAGACTAAGCAGCGTTCCACGCTATCAAAGTCAAGAAACTTGACACCGAGGTCCACATGGATCCTCGGCACCGTGACACGTATCCCCATCGCTATGCGGATAGTGACGATGTCACTCAACCGCGCTTTCAGCGCCTCAGCATACAGCAGACCTCTTTCTATTGTGGAGCGTCGAGCATAATTGCCCGACACCCCAGGGTCGATCAGGATCTTCCATGGCTTCTCACAGCCTTTCACAGTCACTTTTACGACTAGCAAGCCCGCGTTCCGTGTTCAAGAGCACGGAGCTCTTTGGAGCTGAGCCCTGCTGCCCTCTACCTCTTTGAAGCTCAACAGAAATCGGTCCTTCCCCAGTTGGGCGCCCTGCGCCTACTGTGTGTTGTCGTTTCTTCGCGACGAACCAGAAGACTGGTGAGAAACGAGACGTCATTTCGATGAGCCTTGACGCGCCTTGCCCAAGAATCAACCAGTCCGAAGGTGACGGGTGTCTCAACAGACAAAACATCATCAGGTGTTTGAAAGCTCGGCAGCTTGGAGCTCTACCGCCTCTTTTTTCTGTTCAGCATAGATGAGATCCATTCGCTCAGGCCCGCTTGACGAGCTACTAGAGTGCGCATTCCAAACAAGTGGTGCCTACTTAAAGTTGAACACGACATTCAATGCCACATTCACCGCTTCTTCAAATTAAGGTGGATGCACACATAAGACTTCAATTCTGACCACGCCAGTGCGGTAACCCTCCATAAAGATGGTCACTGAGACCACCTCGTGAAGAGGATCGGCTGCCATAACGGAGAGTACGCGACTCTTGGACTAAGTCCACCAACTCCTTCTCGCCCTGTTGGGCGGCAAGGAAACGTGATCGCACGCGATATGCATGGTCAAGCTCTGTCCAGGGAGAAAACACCGATTTAACCGAAGTGCCGCGCGTCAGTGCCCATTCATGCGCTCGACCACCGAGTTTGGTGATAGCTAGCGCCACGCGCAAATGCTCGGTCTAGAGAATGGCCGACGCCCATCTCGGCCTCTCCCACCCAAAGCAGGAGATTCTAACCATTCTTGCACTCAAAGGTCTTAACGATCACCATGAGCGGCCTGGGTCAGGAGGAGTCATCCGTCGTCGACGGTGGCGTCATGGATGAAGTCGGCGACTACATCTTCTGCTCTAGGTGGTCTAGCAGAGCATTTTCATCGCTCAAAACGGCCTCTTGGCGCACGCTGATCGCTCTAGGTCCTAGCGAAGCGAGGTGTTGACACCCTCAGGGCCAAGCAGAGATATCAGCTTTTTAAGCCCGTCCTGCATGCCTTGGGGAAAATAAGAGAACTGCTCCATCCTCATAGAGGATCAGTCGTAACGATTCAGGCGTAGATTGACTACAAGTGCTATTAAGTGTAGCAGGGCTACTGCAGCTCTTCCGCTTAGAGGAAGCTAAGCTGAGGTCGGTGACCTTCGTTCTACATTAGAACTAGTACGAATGGAGCGGATCGCAATCCGCTTACTTCAAGAGTAACTACATCCTTATCCCAAGCCAAATAATCTCTTCCGTTTAAAATGTAGACTGTGTTTCTTTGTTTTATTTGCGGCAAAGCTACCTATATCTAAATCTATAGGTCTTCCTAGTTTATATAATTAAACTGCATAACTACTGGCAGTCCCACCCCTTCATTTCAAGGTACGTGTAATCCCGTTTCATTTACGGGGTACAATAGATCCCAGTCGTTACTTAGTAGACCTCTTTGTGTCGTTTTGACGTTTTTTTAAGAAGTCTGTCGACTGACCCTGCGTAGGTGCTAAATTCTTTGCATTATAAATCGAGAGAGAAGGAGACACGCAGCGAGCAAATGTTTGGCTCTTGGAAATTTAACATGAGTGTGTGTTACGGCACTTCTCTGAAGCTCAAAGATCAATCGCTTTCTCCTCAGCTTGGCAGAGGTCCATTTGCCTTCGGTACACTTAGAAAGTATTCACATACCGCGCTTCAAATGACCCTTGTGGCACGGAAGCTATGCTCCGCATTTACGTAACTCCTCAAATGAGTAATGGTCGACACAAAAAGTCTCGGTTGAGACGCACTTGTGTAGGGATCTTCATACCACCCTCCATAACGATGGTAAACAGTTTCCGGATGGTCTGTTCTCATCCCGATTTGCAGCGACTGAATCTATTCTATTGGTTTCCTTTTTCCATGACGGTTAAAATAATCTTCTGTTCGCTCCAGAAATTCTTGTTGAGCTTTGCAAACTTGTGACATCATCATTTCCATGGTGTAGTGCCTTTTTTAGGATACTGCATATTTGTACCCAGCCTTGTTTGCTGCCTCGTGGCTTGGAGACGGCTAGCGCGAAGCGTTGTTTCTGAACAGGACCGGAGTTCATGGCCTTGTCAATCTCCTGAACCTATGTAGAGAATTTTCTCGCCTCGTCCCTCAAGGGAGTCGGACGAATAAAAAACGGTTCCATTCTATTGACTTCTGTAGGAGCCGTTTAGGCTACCACATAAATGTGGCTTAGACGCTTCTGGGTGCATCTCTCCAGCACATTTTCATAACTATTGAAGCTCCCAGTCGCGAGCAATAATCACTTCAGGGCACTCAACTATCAGTCGTGACATTCCGTCGACTCCAGCTAACTATATCAGCTTATCAAGCGTGTCTGGTTACCAAAACGGGTTTGTGTACAGATTACGTTCCCTCCTCTTAAAACATACAGTCTTATTTGAGTCATTTGAGTGATGCCAAGTGCTACCTGATGCCATTAGACTGCCGTGCACCTCGCCCGAAGACATCTCAGAGTTCGTGTCACATAACGCGCAAATGATGATTCTATGAAATACTTTCCGGGTACCGAACCGAGAGCAGATTAAACTTGTTTTGCTCAAAATTTAGATTGTCTTGTTGAGAATAAAGAAAGCTGCGAATGTATATAATATATGACCTTTATAATTTGTAACAACTAATCTATACAATGTATAGCGCGAGATTAGCAGCTTGACTGTTCCGCAATTTTTTGGTTTACGGGTGCCTATCACCGTCATACTCGCCATAATAAAGTTTGATACTTCATCACGATACTTCGCCCGTGTTTCGATCTAAGCTCAAATGACAACAGCGTAGTGGCCATAAAAGGTATGTAAATCGTAACGCAACGAAATTAGCTGTATTTTATCCAATATGATAATTTGACTATATATTTATACAATTAGATTCAAAACATGTCACTTGTAGCATGAGCAGTGTACAATACTTTGCTTCTTCGAGGACCTTGGTTGTGGGTCTTAGATCAGCGATGAAAGTCATTCTCTACGAACACATTCAACGTTTTCTGCCACGGCAATTCTGTTGGAGCGAGTTGAAAATCTTCAAAGCCGTAACTTTTTTTGATGCGACACAAAGGAAGAAAATATGGTGACAATCTGCTCCCCAAAACCGGATCTGGTACAACAAGAAAGTGCAACAGGTTGCGGTGCACCTCGCAAAGAGAAAGTTACTACTCTCAGAGTCTGTGCCAAATGATGCACAGAGGATGTGTTTACAGCACCCCAGTTTATTGCCGAGGGCAGCTCAAAATCAAGGGTGGTTAATTCTGTATTAAGACTGGCAAAACATGAGACTTTTAACATGTCAATTCAACATCTATCCTAAATGCCCAGGATAGTAAATAGGGTGATCTATGTCCCACTGACCTCTCTGTTATGGCCTCTTCCGTGCCAAGTATTAACCGTGATACTTCATCATGGTTCTCACCTTGGTACTTCTAAGCGTTGCTCTTAGTCTCTTGGGACAACGGTCCAAATCATAAAAGACGTACCCTGTTTTCCCAACACACGACTGAAAAAAGTAAAAAAAGTGTTTCTGGCTGATAACCCATTAAAATTATATTAAATAAAGCTAGTAATGATTCTTGATGGGGAAAGCTACGTTTTAATTCTTGCTGTGTTTTTAATGTGCAGTATATAAAATTTGCCCCATAATATCAGCTAATTCCACCAACCTGTAAGCTTCGAAGGCTTTGATGTCCCGCTACACGTGTTGCTGACCTACAGTGGTAAGTATTTCGGACCTGAAGCGTAGTAAATTGAATTTGTTCGATCAATTGAAATTGTCCGAGTCTACGTTTAAACATCATATGTGGGGCAATAATTCGGTATCTAGTTTACGATCAACTTATGCACGACTTCTGCACACAATGAAAGACCCGGTGGCGTGGGTCGAGTGGTCAATGCTTCTGGACCATACGCTGTGTGGCGCGGGTTTGAGG